AAGGGGTCAGAGCTCATCCCCCGCGGGAGAGGTGCTGAAGGGAGAAAACCTCGCGCCTCACACACCTATTCAGTCCACGGGGCGGACGCGGTTCGAAGAGAGTTTCTGGGAACTTTTCTTTGTGTGTGGGAGCTTTAAATTGCAACTGCTGCACCACAGAGTAATTTATCTGTGTCCAGAAGCGCCAGTGGGTTTTTGTTCCCTCCTCCAGAATCTGGTCCCTGTGTGGGGCGATCGCACTGACCTTTTCTCTCCCCGAAACGTTTCTACCCAATCTCGTTGACTAAAACGAGGTGCTCTGAGCTAATTCACCATTTCGAGTTAGAAGTCATCTGTGCCTCTGGTTGAGGCTCAGGGTTGGGTGGGGAGAGGGACACAGTGTGGTAACAGCAAAGATTTGCTGAGGTATCAGTGCAGACCTGGGGAAAGGAAATGCAGTTTTTACCTCCTGTGTTACTCACATGCCCAGAAAGTTCTTTGCTAAAAACATTTCTGTCTAGAAGCAGAGAATTCTTTAATGAGTGCAGTAGATTGTGTAGTGTCACAATAACTGATAACTGAGTAACTGAGAGGGATTTCTAACTAAAACCTTTGTTCTCTATTATGTCTGTTAATTACTGATACTTGTTACTAAAGAGGCACTTCTGAGTCTTCAGCATCACTTCCCTTTTGCTGACCTCAAGTCTTATTTCTCCTCTAACGCTTTACCAACTTCATTTTAACCCACAGCTATGCAGAGAAGGCATGAGTCCACTTAAAAATGAGTAGAACTTGAGAAGCCTATGTCAAAGGATGTGGAATAACATGGTGATTCTGCTCACACCTTCCCAGTGTTGTACCTGCCTGCAGAGGGAATGCTGGGTCACATGGGGGTGGTTTGGTGTCAGACATCTGTGGAACATCTGTCACACTCTGAATGCTCAGAGGTGCTTCCTGTGCTTTTCCTTTAGGAAAAATCACCCTGGTGATAATTAGTTCGGTTTTATCCACAAGGTCACTTTGAGGATCAAATGTTTCCTTAACAGTCTCCAACAGGTATTGTAACAGGGATTTTGATGATGAAAAAATCCTTATACAGCATCAGAAAGCAAAGCACTTTAAATGCCATATATGTCATAAGAAGCTGTACACAGGACCTGGTTTAGCTATACATTGCATGCAGGTAAGGAGCCTTGGAGTTTCATGATCCAAACGTGGGATGAATAGTGGCCTGAAGGTGGGGGGCTGGGGGTCTCTCAGAAGTGCTGGGCAGAGGGCAGGGGTGGTCACTGCCAGGTGCTGTGTCAGCATCAGAGGGACAGTGTGCAGCAGAGAGCTGTTCTGGGGGGGGAGTGCAGGAATTGTGTTGGTTTTCTGAATCGTGGTCAGCAGGATTTGTTTGCTTGCTTTCCCTCAGGTACATAAAGAAACAATAGATGCTGTTCCTAATGCTATTCCTGGAAGAACAGACATCGAACTGGAAATCTATGGCATGGAGGGCATTCCAGAGAAAGACATGGAGGAAAGGAGGAGGTTACTTGAACAAAAAACTCAGGGTAAGGTGTAATTTGGCTGGTGATGTGTTCTCTGCTCTGTTCCTTGGCTTTAATTCCCTAATGGCAGCTCCAGGCACTTGCTGGTCATGTGGGAGGTTAAGAGGGATTGTTCCTGACCTGTTCAGAAGTGAATTACCTAATGAATATGGGCATGGGGATTTTACTTGGGAGGGTAAGGCCAGAGGTAAAACTACCCTGATGATTCCCAAGCACTTAGATCTCTTTGCAGACCCCTCTGAAGGTGAAGGTCATGACCCGCTTTGTAATTCTGACAGTTTTTGAACACTGATGAGATTTGAATTGTACTGTATTTGCTCTAACTAGCATAGCCCAGATGGAGTCAACTTCATAGAATATCATTTGTGTGGTTTGACCATATCCTTTGTACTGTCTGCAGAGAGCCAGAAAAAGAAACAACAGGATGATTCTGATGAGTATGAAGATGATGAATCTGCAGCTTCAACATCATTTCAGCCCCAGCAAGTTCAGCCCCAGCAGGGGTACATTCCCCCCATGGCACAGCCAGGTTTGCCTCCTGTGCCAGGTGCACCAGGGATGCCTCCAGGTGAGAGAGTGTGCTGAAAAGCTGAGCAGCAGTTACACAAATTGCTGTCTGTGTGCTGGGTAATAATCTGCCCTTTAAGGCTGGGTCTGGGAGGTCACAGGATAGTTCTGTGAGCTGCAGATAAGCAGTTTCTTCATTTTCTTCCCCCGTTCTCTGTATGCACAACATTTTCCTTTGTGGAGTAGATTGAGGTGCCTAGTGCTGGCGTGGGGGTTGGAGTATGGTAGTGAAACAGATTAGTGTTGCAAACAGGAGTTTACCAGTGATATTGGTGGTACTTTGGAAGGTGGTTTTGGGACAGGGCAGGAAGGCTGTGTGTGTCTAGAGACTGCTGACATGGGACAGAGCACACAGGCCACAAAGAGGAGAGAATTTTGATCAATGAGCAAAAACTGCTCTCTTCTCCTTGTGAGAAGGTGTGTTCTTGGCACACCACCAAGAAAACTTAAATCTTGCAGGATGAGACCAGTGAATCTAAGTCAGGTTTGCAGATAATCTTTTATATTGTGGTGTTTGTAAGCAATGTTCTTTCATACCCCAGTTTTTGAGGCCTTCCTGTACAGCATCATTTATCCATCTGAAGTCATTAGATGAGATTTGTTAGCAACTCTGTTCTGTCAGGTTTGTTAACAGTGTGCTTCTCTTTGAAGGTATACCACCATTAATGGCAGGTGTTCCACCTATGATGCCTGGAATGCCTCCAGTTATGCCTGGAATGCCTCCTGGGTGAGTAGCAAGAAAGACTTAATTATTGCATTTTCATATTGTGCATTTTAAATTGTCGCAGAAAAGTAAAGCTAGTAAAAATGTGTATAGGGAGTTGTGAACTTTGTAGCCTTACTATTAAGACTAACTAAAAAACTGGATGGCTGTAAACCAACATTTTAAATACGGCCAAACTGGGAGATTATGTATCAAGTATGTTGCTTTTCTTGTAACTTTCCTGAGTAGTAGTATAATAATCTGAAAGTTTGTTATGTTGTGTTGGTTTAGAGCCTTCTGTGAGTCACTGTCCCTTTGTGTACTGCACATATGTTGTACATCTGGGTATCAATCATCAACCTAACAGGAAAAAATACTGGATAGTTTATATTTCTCTTGTGTTTTGGGCAAAAGATGTTGGTTTTTATGCTTGTTTGGGGTTGACACCATACCCTGTCACAATGTGTTTGGAAGTTCACAGTTAGATTTTTGATTTTGTCATAAATTTTCACAGATTACATCAACAGAGAAAATACATGCAGTCATTTTGTGGTGGAAACATGTAAGCATCTCATTAATGTAATTCTAGGTACATTCATTATGCCATTTTATGTCATGTTTTTGATAAGTTTGAAATTGTCTTACTGAAAACCTCTGAATATTGCATAAGAATTTGGGGAAAATGTCTAGTTAGGTTTTGTTACTGTATCATAGAAGGGTTTTATGCTTTAAGTGAATCTTACAGAACTGTTATGTGAAATGCATTCTGCAAAATAGTAACAAAATAGACTCTTAGGAGCTCAGAACCTGTTTTTGAACCAGAGCACACGTGCTCAATCCTGTACACTGCAGGAGATACTGCAGGAACTCTGGTTTTGAGCTGTAAAGTTCACTGAGGTGAAAGGTTGTTGTCTTTTGAGACATAAATATCTGTTTATCAGTCTTTGAATTTGAAAGTCATGTCACAGTCAGACATGGTGTGGATGCTCATCGTGGCTGTAGCTTCTCTGGGTGGAAACTGAACAGAATTTAATCAGGTTTTCTGGGGCATGGTCCTCATTAAACTCTGTCAGCTTCAGGGGAATGTAATGTTATCTGGCAAAATTTCACTTCCATTGGGAGAGTGTGGTGGTGCATTATGCTTTTACCTATTCTGATCTAATTTTTTGCTTACTTCACCTGATTATCTTTAGTTGTGAGCAAAGAACTAGAACCCAGGAAGTCACTTTGTTTCTAGTGTGACACGAGCTGTGGCACTGTCCCTCAGTTTCTCAGGAAGTCAGCAGGCACTGAGCATCCAGCATTTCTCTTTTAGTGTTTAATGTGTGGCAAGACTGACTTTGTCTGCTCCAACCTTTCACCCCAGAAGGGGCTGTGGGCCTGTGTTCCCAGTCACTGCTGCTGCGTGGGTTGTTGCCTGTGTAGCAGTGGTGGCTGAGCAGAGAATAGAACCTGAGTGGCTTTGCAGAATGAGTGCTCACCTGCTCACGGTGGTCACTGGAACAGCAGTGGTGAAGGTGTCTTGACTGTCACACAGACACAAACTGCTTCTTGGTGGGGTGTAGGTGTGTACTTGGCTGCTACGTATCTGCTTGTCTTGCTCACTAAAGTTATAACCATTCCTTCATCTTGTTTCCCTAATCCATCTTCGAGTGTCTGGAAAAACTTAAGCAAACTTAAGCTGCACTTGGTTTGTTCCCTGTAAAGCAATGATACGTGTTTATCTGTAGCTTCCCAGTTGAACAGCGCGTAAGAGTTGTAGATAGCTGACTTTTTCTTAATGGAATTGCAGCCTTGTGCAAGAGGAATGTGCTTATATTAAGGGTTGTTTGTATGTTTAGATGGGGAATGTGGGTTAGTAGATAAAGGTAAAAGGAGTCACTGAGGTGCAGCTATCTGTTAGGAAATACAGACCACCTTTTTCTCCAGGTATCAGTGGCAAGGAAAAAAACCCAAACCCATTTTTAATACGGAGAAGCAAATATATTATAATGAGGATTTCTCATATTACCATAAATAAATACAAATTCCCATTTTTAATCAGGATGTGGAGTATTTACTGTAATTGACACTCCAAAGCTTTCTTACCCTGTGGGCTCTGCTCTGCTGTTACCAATATTTTGTGGATGGTTCGACTGCCATTCACTCATGGTGTCAGAGGAGTAAGAGCAGATGTACAATGATTGCAGTGTGATTGCAGAGAGCTGTTTCTCCCACTTTGACACTTCCTGAGTGTACTGGGATCAGGTTCTTGGAACACTCTGTTGCAACTAGTAGCCTGAAATAGATTTCAAGAGAGACACCAGTTCTGGAAGTCTCATAACAGAATTGAAAGCTTGAGAAATTAAAGTTCAAATAAAAAGTGTTTGGGATTTTCTTGGGGTTTTTGGGTGTCGGGTTTTTTTCCTTGTGGAGTCAGATGGTTTTGCTTTGCCACTGTTGGGAACTTCTTGAAGTTATTTACCATGATTTTTTACCTAATACAGGTATGTGCCAGTTGTCTTAACAGTTTATAATGAGTGTTCACACTGGTGCTCATTTTCTGTTCAATAGGATGATGCCAATGGGTGGAATGATGCCTCCTGGGCCTGGAATACCACCTCTTATGCCTGGTATGCCACCAGGTAGGTCAGGGTTGTCCAACTCGTACTATGGTGAGAGTTAAATTATATTTATTTATTTCCACTAATAATTAGGATTTATATTGTGCTGGTTTTAGCTGGGATGGAGTTAATTTTCTCAGTAGCTAGTGTAGTGCAGTGTTTGGATTCAGAGTGATAATACTGTTGATAGCACACTGATGTTTTGGTTTCTGCTAAGTTGTGTTATCCTAAATCAAGGACATTTTCTTTCTTGTGTCTTATCTCTGCCAGTGAACATACAGACTTACACCACTTTCTTGTTGTGGCTTACCCAAAAAAGCCACTCCTGTGCAGAGGTGGTTGATTTATGGCTTTTGCTTATAGTTAACGAGTTTTATACCATTGCTAAAGTAAAAAGTAGAATATAGTTTTCTTATTGCATTTCCTTTGGCTGTTGTGTTGCCTAGTGTGTCTCTTCATCCTTTTTTTTTAAATATCTGTGGTTGCAGCTGGAAAATTGTAATGGTTGAAAATGTAGAAAGCGAAGAATAATGTTGGTGATTTACCCAACTGATGAGGTGCTGTGTGAAGAAACTTAACTGATATTTTGGTGTCTTAGCATAGCTAAAAGAGATGTTTCTTGAGCTTATGCAGCTCTTAAGCAGCCTGAAGTTGTCAGGGTGTTCCACCTGACCAGCAGCTGTGTTGTAATCACCTGAGCTCTGCTGGTTTGCTTGGAACCCTTGTGAGCTGTTAACTGCTCACCTGACCCTCTGCTAGAGCCCCCACACCAAGTGCCTGTGTGGGGGTGACAAGGAGCCTTGTGTCCCTGTCCACTGTGCTAAAGACTCCAGTAAAGCCCATGGTGTCTCAGTTCTGGTGCCATTCACAATAATGGCTGTGTCTGTTGGCAGTGTTGGCACAGTGTATTGGGAACAGTTACTGCATTAATTGCAGTGGCTTAATGAGAGCAGAAACTTTTCATTACTGAAGCTTTAGTAGAAAATGACTTTATTCGGCGTTGCTCTGATGTGTTTGAGGTTGCTACCTGTGCATGGGGATTGGTGACTGCTGCCATTTGTCATGATTTATTTTACTGTTGCTTTAAAAATACATCTTGTGGGAACTTTGTTGTGAGGAACACTGTAAACAGAGTCCTCTGAAGGGATATTTGTACCTCCTGGAGCCTGACCTGTTGGCAATTCTTCGTGGTTTGCAGGTATGCCTCCGCCCGTGGGGCCTCGGCCTGGCATGCCTCCAATGACACAAGCACAGCCTGTCACAGCTCCAGGCATTCTCAACAGGCCTCCAGCTCCAGCTGCAACAGCACCCACCCCCCAGCCTCCAGTTACCAAGCCACTCTTCCCCAGTGCAGGGCAGGTAAGGTACCTCAGAGCTGGAATCTCCTCTTACATCCTTCAGATTGCTGCTGTATCAACAGCAGCTGTTCATTATTGAGGAGGCCCAAGAAATGACTGGTTAAATTTATTGCTTGGGCTGATTATTAAGTTTAATTCAGTGTAGTGCTCGAATGAATTTTTAAAGATTCTTTTGTTTGTCTTACACCAGCTGTGAAAGCAGACAAGTTCTGTAAGCACCTGGGGAAGAAAGGAGTAGGCAAAATGCTTTGTTTGATGCCTTTAGTTTGTCATTCATAGGGGTGCCTGGGGTGGGTGAAGGGATGTGGCAGCTACAGGAAACTGATTGCATAGAACTCTAGCTAAGATGTCCAAATTACAAGTCTTGACCTGTTCTCAGCTTTCTCCTTACGGGCTCTGTGCCAATAGATGGACTGATTTATTCTGTAGTCTTGTTAAACTGGTTAAACGTTGCCTGAGTTAGGTCTTTTACTTCAAAAAGTTCAGGAGTAAGTTAGTGTAGTAAAAATTCATTGAAATGTTTTGGGGAGGGAAGTGGGGATTTGTTAGTGGCTTGTGACCTCTTCCTGTGAGTGCACTTGTAAGTCCTGAAGGTTTCACTTGCTTTCAAGTATGTTGCAGAAACCTTCAGAGTGTACTGTTTGCATTTTGGACTTCTGCAGGGAAGATACTTGTTTACAAAACCACAGTCCTTTCGTAAGAAAGGGCTTAGTGTAAGAAATCCTTTCATCTGGATACTTTCCACCCATTTGTTTGGAGACTTTTCACTGTTTCCTTTCTTTTATGCTACAGATGGGGACACCTGTCACAAGCTCAAGTGCAGCTTCCTCCAATTCAGAAAGTCTGTCAGCATCTTCTAACGCTCTGTTTCCTAGCACAGCACAAGTACGCAGGAAGTCTCAGTTAAAAACAAATTGCTTTGCAACTTAACCCTTTGGACCGTTCTCTAAAACCTAAAATGGACTAAACATCTTCAGATCGTTTCTCATATCTTCCTGATTATGTTTAGCTGCTAAAACTGCAGAGTCCTTGATTGTGAGTTGCATCTTGCTAGAAATAAGCATTTCAAAGTGCCCAATTTCTCTTAGTGTGACAGAATGAAATGTTACGTCTTGGTTCTAAAGGGTTAAAAAGGCATGAAAGCAGTTAAATGCATTTTAGTGGGCAGTGGTTAGCTTGATGCATGGTGAAGGCTTTTTAGTTTATGTTGTTTAATATGGTACCTCGTAATGTAGGGAGTTTTTGTTTGCATTATGTGCAAGATGTTCAATTTTTGGGGGTTTTGAAGTTCAGGTAATTGTAAATACACAGTGACTAGAACCGAAAGCATTCTCATACCTAAAGCTTGTTTTCAAAGGAAGCTTTGTAAAGCAGACTTACAGTTTTTCTTTAAGAAAAAAGTAGGAAAAATGAAATGCTGGAATTCGTAGTGGATTTTATAGCTGCTTCCATTGATTCTTGATTCACAAATGAGGTTAAAGCTCTGTAGAGAGACACAGTACTTTGTGGAAATACTGCAGTGTTCTGGTAGAGAGAAGGCTTAAAAGCCCTGACAGAATTGAGCTTTAAGTGTTTGATGAAAACATTCCTTAAACACCTAATTTTAATGAATACTAACACTTGGAGCTGTACTCTAAACTAATGGTTGCTAAAGTTTGATTATAATTTAGTGAGAGAACCATGAGTTTATGCTTAGTGGCTCTTAATAAAACAGTGGTTCAGGAAAGATTTACCCATTTACTAAATTCAGTGTTTAAGATAAAAGTTTTGATAGTGGGGTGGGATTTTGTTGTGGGTTTTTTTTTTTACTGTTCCTTTTTTCTAGTTGTGGCTTTTGTCCTGCAAATTTTAGCCTTTCCAGTGTGTGTGTGTGTATACTGGGTTTTATTTTGTCTTGTTTTCAGTTGCTCTAGTATGCCATAAGGCTGAACTTTACTTTTGTTGAGCTTGTTGTAATTACATATCTCACTGGAAGGTTTCAGAGGTCTGACAGGCATCATTTAAGTTTTTCTTGTGCTTTGAGAAATAAATACTGAGCCATCTCTGTGTTTCACAGGCTGCAGCAGCTGTGCCAGGGCCAGTTGGTACTGATTTCAAACCTTTGAATTCTACACCTGCGACAACAACGGAGCCCCCAAAACCTACATTCCCTGCATACACACAGTCTACAGCCTCAACCACTAGCACCACCAACAGCACTGCAGCCAAACCAGCCACATCCATAACAAGTAAGCCTGCTACCCTCACAACAACCAGTGCAACCAGTAAGTTGATCCATCCAGATGAGGATATATCACTGGTAAGTTAAAATGTTTTCATTGTCTTACTGAAAAAATGCAGTTTGTGCTGATATGGCTGATGAAATGGAATTTCTTCTGTGCTCTGCATTGTGTGTTTTAATAACAGTGAGAGTGCAAACTGTGCAGGATTAATGTGGCTGAGAGAACTCCTTGGACTGCAGAGTGAGCACTGGCAGATTGCAGTCACCTTGCTGCAGTTCTGAGCCTTGTTTTAGTTGGTGGTAGGAAGTCGCTCAACCCACAATAGAATTTAGACTTTTTCTGCGTGACTGAAGCTCAGAGTTAAGTAGATGTAGGCAATGAGTGCAGAACAAAGGACCGAACAGTTTGGGGTGGGTTTGATGCTATTACAGCAGTCAGAAAAGGGGAACTGACGAACATAGAAACCTTCATTTCAGTTCAGATGTCTTTAGATTTGGGTTTGGCTGTTTTATCTCAGCTTGTTAAGAGAAAAAGGTTTGTTCAGCTGGGGGAGGAGGAGTTGTGTGCAGAATGCTTGATTGGGCAGTATTAATTAACTTTGCAGGCAGGGGGACAATCCTAGTGCCACTGTGTGATGTTACTGTAGTCTTTGAATTTTTAAGGTAGTTAAAATACTTCAGTAACTGTAATCTGCTTTGTTGCACTTTTGTTGACTTTCCTCCTGGTGAGTTTTAGGCTTACAGTGTGTTGTGGTTGTCTGCTCTGCTTGTAGGAAGAGAGAAGGGCACAGTTGCCTAAATATCAGCGCAATCTTCCGCGGCCGGGACAGGCTTCCTTGGGGAATCCACCAGTTGGACCAATTGGAGGTATGATGCCACCACAGCCAGGAATTCCTCCACAGCAGCAAGGAATGAGACCTCCCATGCCACCTCATGGTAATCCTATTTCCCAGCTTGCTTTTCTTGGTTTTGCTATAAACCGTTTCAAAACGTGCTGGCGTTTATACTGGCAGGGAGGGGTTGGAGCTTTTCACAAAATACAGCTTCTGCTCGTTATTGAAAAAAAAATAAATGTTGTTTGCATCTGAAATGTTCTGTTTATAGGTCAGTATGGTGCTCATCACCAGGGCATGCCAGGATACCTTCCTGGGGCAATGCCTCCGTACGGGCAGGGCCCGCCCATGGTGCCCCCGTACCAGAGTGGACCTCCGCGCCCGCCGATGGCCATGAGACCCCCCGTCATGTCCCAAGGTGGCCGCTACTGATGCTACTGCTCACACCCAATAGGTTTGGAGATTAAACCTTTTCTCATCTTGTGCTGTTAATATAGCAGAGCTTCCGTCAATTAAGGCTTCATTGTGACTTTAAAAAAAAAAAAAAGTATCTTCCCACATGCAAGGAGCTATTGGACATTCTTATTTTACATGGGAAAAATTATTTGGAATAATGACAGGAACTTTTCCTGATGTTGCAATTTATACTGTATGGCTTCTTTTTCATGTTTCATCTAGGTTTTTAGAAGTGAAGTATAGTAAATATGGTTCGTTAAATTGTGAAGGCGCTGGAATTACATGAACATACCACCCTAAAGGCAAGTTCTGTAACGTTACGTTGCTCTTTGTGAAATGATGCCTTCACAGCACTTCAGGTGCTGTTGGACTTCACGTCCCCAACATAGTTTGGTGAGGGCTGTAACTGTTCCCAACTGCTTGTACATTAAAGTCTGAACTTGTAACAATATTTAATGTATTTAGAGTTCCTCCTGTTTCAGGGTTTAAGTAAACTGACCCACTAAGGTCATGTGACTTTTCTGTACCGTTATAAACTTCATTGTAATAAAAGAAGATAAAAATTTATATGCCTTTTTATTCATGACCAGCTGTGGACAACTGCCTGAAAGGTTTGTACAGATGCATGCCATGGTAGCCATTGGTGTCATGAACACCATTATTGGTGCTGTTTTGATAAAATCTGAATTCCTTGTGCTAAAATTCAGTCACTCCTTAGCTGTATGTCTGAGTAGACAAAGACCTGTACACTTATTAACTGACTCCTCAAAACTGAGGCTGCAGGAGGCACATGCTAACTCTTGGTTGTAACTTCTCTTAACGCATATGTTTCTTTATTTGTGCTTTCTTGTCCTCAATAAATTTTAAATGATTTCTAGTCCTGGCACTTACTTCTAGGATGTGGAAGTGCTCTAAGATACATCCTAGTGCCAGGTGTGTCCTGTTAGTTTACTCTTTGACCCTTTTGAATGTGCAAATGCATATGAATTTCAGGAGCCTTTTAGGTGAAGATTTCTAGAAGCTTAGGTGCATGTCACATGGGTGAGTGACTTCCAGTTAATGTATTGAAGTTGACCTGCAAAAGAGAAAAAGTAGCTTGACCTTGGTGGATAAAAGAGGCAGAGTGGGCAAGGGGAATGTGTTCCATGCTGTATTTTTACTTTAAAGGTTCAGAATTTTGGGTCTTGTCAGTCTCTAAAGAACCATCTGTAACCATCTGTTGTGTGCTACGATGAGATGTTGGCTGAGTTAGTTTCTTGAGTCAGTCAGTCAGTCAAAGTGTCTGGTGTAAGAGACCTTTTCACCCAAGAGAGGTCTTCCCTTATGAATTAGTCATTTACCATTTAGAGTGCTAATTCGCTGTCAGGGTTGTAATTCTGAGTGTCTGACGTCCTGTGTTATGTGCTGTACTTCTGATGAGAATGAGAGTGCAGGAGACTTTTTGGAGGGAAGTGAGAGCTTCTCTGGCCTCTTCACAACAGGGGGATAAAAGGAGTGGTGAATTTTTTCTTTTGCAGGTCAACTTTAAATACATGTTCCAGCCTCAAGCCTTATCTGTGCAATTTAGTTTATGGGGATATCTCTGCTTTCAGAGTAGGTTAGAAAGATTATCAGCATTTTTGTGTCACTGTGTTGCATAGATGTTTTTGTAGATGGAGGTTTTTCCACAATTATAATACCAAGCATTGAGTTTTTTTAAGTCTTGGGATTTTTTAGCTGCACTTAAGGACTTTGTGTGGCTTTATTCTGTACTGTCTCTTAACAGTGCAAAAATGCAGTGCAGCTGAAATCCTACGTTGTGTCTCAGCTGCTGACCTGGGGTTGAGGAATGGCTCATAAAAGCAATTGGAGCATCCAGTGCAATCTGAATACAGCCAAATGGCCGTAGTTTGACCATCAAGAATTGCCAGGCACTTTTTCCAAAGTGTTTAGCAGTTTTAAGACCATAACTCCAAGCCTCTGTTGAGAAGCAGTTCTCTCTAATCACTGGTATCTGCTAATCACCTGTCAGATGTGCAGTGTTTGGCTTGCAGATGTGCTGAGTGGGCCTTGATCTTGTTGGCTCTTCACCTTGCTTTATACATAAGTCTTAACAGATACAACTGTTTTGTTTAGGCAGTGCTTTTACACTCTGGTTCTCTTCTGTTTGCCTAATAAGGATAATTACAAAACACGGGAGAGACTTTTACAATGTCTTATATCCATCCTTTTTGTAACACTGCACATACAATTCTCACATTATAAAGTGATCTGAACTACTGCTTGTAAAACTGTAGAAGTTCTTGCTTTTTCTGAAGATCATATTGCTGCTGTAAGGATGCTTTGCCCTCCTGCCCCAGTCGAGTAAATCCCTTCTCCCTTTGGTGTCTTTCCATAACTCTCCATGTGTTGTTTCCAGGCCCCTACTTCTCCTGGGGTAAAGCCTTATTGCATGTACTCTTAACTCAGCATATTCTGCAAGTTGTATTCATTGAAAGTTTCCCTCTGTTAAGCAGTGAATGTCTCCTTGTTCTGATAATGGAACCCTTTGGTAGCTGATACTGGTAGCCTTAATGCTTGGATGCATTTTGAGATTGATCTTTCCTTAGCAGTAATGTTACGATAATCCCTCAAGTAAGTACTGCAACATGTTTTTCACCGATACTCACATACAAATGAACAACTTCCCATGGTTTTCATGTGGATATTTTCTTTCCTGCCTCTGTCATTCCTGTGCTGTAAGAGCTGTGATGTGGCTGCCTTTAGTTACTCCTGTGTCTCCCATGTGACTCCTCTGTAAACAGGCAGGTGTTTCAGTGCCTGTGCTGTCTGTTGGTCCCTGCCATCCTTTCCTTGGATACTGCTTCTTAATGCTCAGAGAGTTGGATTTATGGTGCATTCACCCAAAAAGAGGAAAACTGCTTTGAATGTAGTGATTGCTTGTACGAAGACTTAAGGCTTTGGTTAGTACCAAGTGTGATCACCTTAGCTGTGCCAGCAAAATCCCTTCTGTAACACAGCCATGCACACAGGGATTGCTGTAGTTAACCTCTCCCTGGAAAGAGATTGCTGAAGCCTTTATGATTACTGAAAAGCATCTCTCTTTTATCTCCTGCAAGACTCTACTGATGTAACTATGTAGGCAGAAGCTTTGTTTTGCAGTTATTGCCTAAATTTGCCACAGCAGATCTTGCAGTAAAATTAGCACTTGCAAGTGCGTTTTGATTGGTCTTAAAATTGCAACATAATACAGATGTTGAATGCAAAAATTTAGACTGCAAGAAAATTTCAGACAGGGTGGGGAAATGTGTAGCAAAAATGCCAGAATTGGTGGCATCACAGAGTTTCATACTGCCTTAGCACAGCTTTCTGCCCTGGGCTAAGGGTGCTTTAAATCAAACACTGACAATTTAGCTGCTTAGGTGAGCTAAAAATTTCTGCTGAAACTTCTGGATTATTTTTTTTCTTCCACAGATGAGATGTGAGGTGCTGCTAACAAATTTGAGGCTGGGCTGTGTATCTAATAATGCCAGTGGATAACTATTCCTCGCTCTGTGCATGCATGGGAGAATATAAAGAAGCTTCTAGAAACACATTCAGCTGCATCTGCCTTCTATGGTTTCTGCCATTGTTTTAGTCCATTGAGCTCTTGAACTTACACAGAACTGTAGAACTTACTCTCTTAAAACTTGGATAAATTTGGATGGAATGTATAACCTACAGTTATTTTATAGGAACCAAAGCATTCTGCATACAAGATGCAAAATAAAATACCGAGATAAAGCTTCAGTTTTATGAACAGCAAGAAGGGCATTGTGACCTTCAGTTAATTTGAGACTCTGATACACCAGTCCATGAGCTGGGGCTGCAATTTGAATGGTAACTAATGGCACTTGATAGTAAATGTCTTAATAATTGTACTGGTCTAGTTTCTACATAACACTGAGACGAGGGTGAACATTTTCAGTGGCTGGTGGAATCTTTAACTCTACTTTTCGTGAACTAGTGCAATAAATACTATCAGTTATGGGAAAAATGCCCCAAGACAACTGACTGACGTTCCATTGATCAAGATACAAAGCAAAACAACCTGTTCAATTCAGAAACAGCTACCAGCTACAAAAAATACAGTTTGGGCCTAACAAAAGAGGTGTCATTTTCTTTTGTTTGCTTGATCACTGGAATTCTGTTAACTTTGAATGCATGTCTTTCACTTAATTGGGTCATGTTTTTTCTAAAATTTAAATTTTTCTTCTTCCTATAGCCCTGCCATAGGACAGGCTGAGGCAGAGTCTCAGTGTTGCCCTGTTCAGTCTGAGGCAAGTGGGATTTATTTTATTCATTCTGGGGGCTTTCACAGCTTTATGGCTGTTGGATATTTATGTCCCCAAACTTGCAGCAAGTTTGGTGAAGGCCCCTAAATTTATTTTAATTTAGGTTTTTTATTCTCTTTTGGTAGATGGGCTCTATATTAATATTTACCTTTTTATTATCATTGTGTTTTAAGAGTCTTAGGGGGAGGGAACCTGTTGTAAGATGTTTGGGCACCTTTTCTCTTACTGGAATGCATTTCCTCCCAGGCTGCTCAGGTAGTCCCTCAGCCACACTGCCCTTCCCCACTTGTCCCTGCATTGCATTTGTGCTGGGTTTGGGTCTGGTACTGGTGACTTTGGGTAGTCTCTGAATTAGTGGCATGTACATACCAGTTACTAACGCTTCCTCTTCTGGGGAGATGTCTCTGTCAAAGTGCTTAAAATAAGTTTTAACTAGTAAGTGACATAGTCAGAAAATTGTGTTGCCCAAATTATAGATGACAACTTCATTGAAGGTTGAGATGTTGACACTGCTGTCTGTGTGAGCTGCACCTCAACAAATATTAATGTAGAGCCCTGTGAAGGAAAGAGCCGAGCTGGTAACAGAGAACAGAAGGGTGAGAAATAAGAGCTGCAGATTTTTCAGTTTGCCACTTTCAGGGAAAATGTTTTCCTAATCTCTCCAATCCACCAAACTTGACAATATTTTGACTATTGCAACAATAGTGAAAGTCACAGCACTTCTTTTTGAAACTGTGGAACTCTGTTGCATATCCAAAATTTGCATAGTTACATGCTGATTTGAAGTTCTATCTTTCACACAGTGACTAGCAAAATATTCCGCCCTTCATGAAGAAAAAGCTGCTCACTCTGTTGCATGTACATTGGCCTTCAGGGCTTGATGTTGATTAAAGGCAACTTGAGCTTCAGAACAGCAGGTTTTGTCCAAGGAGGTCTTGCAGCCTGTCAGCAGTGACATAGCAAATTAACAGGTGTGGCAGTCAGGGTTTACGAATCTTTTTTATTTTCATTTTTGAGGTATTAAAAAAATTCTGGTGTTTTTTAGGAGCATAGACTGCTTCATTTCTTCAAGATTTTGCTAAATAACAACTCCCAGTGGGATTTCCAGTAATTTCAATTCAAGGATAGAATTGTAACTCTTAACCTAGAGTGGACTGCACATCCTTGTTGTACCCTGCCTGGTTTGTACTCTGCCCTCTGCATTTGTCCTTGAGGCCCCCAGAATCTCCCAGTCTGACTGGAAAGTGGACGTGTCCTCTGTTAACTGTTCCCAAGTGTAATGAGCATGGCCTTGCTTTTCTAATTGTCATTGTGGTGCTCCCTCTGAGAACAGTGAAGATGAGAACAGCTTTTCAAGATACACCACTGCAACTAGTATGGGTTTCACTTGCTCCATAGGAGCATTTGGCTTAGTTGTTATTTCCCTGGAATGTTAATGAAGCTGTTTGACCAGCTGTAATACATGGTGTGCCTTGTACTTCTTGCTTTAAGTATCTGAGTCTCTTAGGGGAGTCCCTGCTTAGATCCACACTTGGGTTATGTCTTACAAAGTGATACCCTGGGGAGAGCTAAA